AGAGAGAGAGAGAGAGAGAGAGAGAGAGGGGGGGAAGGGAAACGTGAAGGGAGAAGGAGAGGGTAGGAGTCAAGGGGGAAGGGGGGATTTTTTTAATCATGAATAAAAGTTCGATTGGGTTGTGACTCTGTCGAAATTGCAGCCGATAGTAGTAGGCAGGATTGTCTCAGGATTTTAATGCGAAAGGCTTCAGAATCGTATATCATAAAGATCATATTATTAAAAGAGAACGTAGCTCGTCGTCATCATGATGTATTTAAGTAAACTCGATGAACCAAAAATTTCCCCTCGTTTTGTTCATTGTGTTTTGTCAATCTTTGGGTCCGTCTTTTGTAAGTATATTCATTTGCTATAAAGAAACCTCGTGCGCGTGCGCGCGCGCGCGCGCGCCACCGAGACATGCACGCGCATTCGGCCAGCCGATGAGAAGGTGTAGAGAGAATAACTAAGGGGTGTGAGGAGTGGGTCATATTCTTCTGTTCTTCTTTTTTTACGTATGCTTTAACTAGAAGAACTACAAGACGCTGCAGTGACGATGGATGAACCGGGACAGTTTATATTTGTGAGGAACAGATCAATAGCGAAGGATATCTATTCACAGTACGGAAGAGGTGGTAGAGGCAAATTGCATGATGAGAACCGTGCAGGACTTGGCTCGAGAGAGAGCGATTCGTGCTATACGGGAAAAAGGCAGCAGCATAGGGCACAGTACAACAGACGGGATGGGGGGAGAGGGAGGATGACAGCAGGAAGAGAATGGCAAGTGGAGGATAATCTACGTGAGGCGACGTATCTTTCGTTTGTTTTGGTTATTAATTGGGGGGGGGGGGGGGGGGGGGGGGTTTTTTGGGGGGGGGGGGGGGGGGGGGGGAGCTTTTTGGGGGGGGGTGTTTTTTTTTTTTTTTTTTTTTGTTTTGGGGGGGGGGGGGGGGGGGGGAGAGGGGCGTTTTTAGTGGGTGAGGAGGCGCTTTTAGTGGGCGAGGGATGTGGTTATAAGGTGAACTGGGGCAGGAAAAGCGGCGCAAGACACGGGCGCGAGGAGGACTTGGGGGGAGGGGGGAGGTCATGGGGGGGGAGGGGCGGGGGGGGGACGTGGGTTGTGAAGATTGCCGGTTTTTCTTCGAATGAGCAGAACATGAATCATTGTCTCTGAAATGCAGAGGAGGTAATTTGATGTGACATTGTATTCGTGTACCAAATTTCTAGATCGTGTCGTTGTGCTTGCGTGCCTGTAGATTAGACGTGTGCGCGCAGCGAAGAGGGGGGAAGAGGGGGGAAGTGGGGGGAGCAAGAGGGGGAAGAGGGGGAAGAGGGTGTCGTTGAGAGGGGAGAGGAAATTGTGACAATATGATAGAGAGCGAATTCTTTGTTGAGCAGGGAAGGGATAGGAAGAAGGCGGGAGAGGGGGGGGGGGAGAGAAGAGGTATTGCCAATCGTCTTAACCCTATGCATTAGATAGATGGGTGCGAAAGCGCGTTTTTCGGGGTTTAACGTCTGTATGTGGCCGTGTTAAAGGGGTAGAGAAGAGGTTTAGGGGGTAGAGAAGAGGTTAAAGGGGTAGAGAAGAGGTACCGCCAAATTTTAAGCCTATGCAATAGATAGATAGGTATGAAGGCGCGATTCTCGGGGTTTAAAGTGTGTGTGGACGTGTTAAAGGGGTGGAGAAGAGGTACCGCCAATCTTTTTAAGCCTATGCAATAGATAGATACGTAACAAGGCGCCATTTTCGGGGTTTAACATCTCTCTGTGGCCGTGTTAATGACACGTGGCCTAGTGTTATGTGTTCTTCTTGCTCTTGCTGCTCCTGTAATTTCAATGACGTGGCACGTATGCCTTTTATAAGCAGAGCGTGCCCCGTCTCTTCTGTCTGAACGCTGGCCTCCTCTTAAGTACATATAGATCATGTGAAAAAAAAGACAAAGAAGTCCGTCGCCGTCGTTTTCTCTCTCTCTCTCTGACTGTTTTTCGCTCTGTTCGCGGTGTTCCGACTCACCCACTCAATGGGGGGCTTGAGGGGGGGGGGGGGGGAAGGGGGGGGGAAGRWGGGGGAAGCGGGGGGCTTTTTGTCTTGACGATTATGTCTACGGTCGAAGATGTGCTTGGGATGCTTCTGCGAGAATCTGGTCGCTTTCATCGTGCAGGGGATTTAATTGATTGGTTGATTGATTTGTTCGGCGAATCTGGACTCATATGGAAGTAGTAGATAGAGGCGTATCGTTCTCGGTGGTGGCTGATTGGACGTTTCACGCTGGTCCGGTGTCGATTTCGAGCTGTTGATTAGCTGTGCATGTACTGCTGGCTGATTAGGTGGGAGTGTGATGCGATGGTAAGGAGCAGCCACGTGGCGGGACTGTCCTTTTTCTTTGTGCTTGAGAAGTCGCTCCATGGATGTGTCTGTGAACACCATGGCATCAGCCACGTGGCAGCACCTGGGAAGACTCGGCATCAGCCACGTGGCAGCACCTGGGGAGACTCGGCATCAGCCACGTGGCAGCACCTGGGGAGACTCGGACGCCTAACGTCATCGTAAGATACCGCTTCTTGGTTGTGGTCGAGGGAAGGGTCTCCCACGTGGCAGTAAAGAATGGTTCTATGACGAGGCAATAGAGAAAGGTGGCTGTTTGTATGCACGTGAGCCGGGGGGGGGGGGAGGGGAAGGGGGGGAGTGGGGTTGTGAGGGTTGTAATTTGGTAACACGGTACTGGTGTTGCACAAGAATTTGGCGGGAGAATTAGGGACCGTCCTGATCGGAGTAGAGATAGGTGTCTCGAGCCACCCAGATGAATGACCAGATGGAGCGTACGGCGTGGTGAAGGGCGCGTTATCTTGAGCTCTTCTGGGCATTCCAGACCTTAATTCCGGCTAGATTCATTTGAAGAATTACTAGTGTGTGAAAACCCTCCTGAGTCGCCCTTGCGCTCCTTTTTTCTGATGCATGGAGCTCGGTGGCTGGGAACGTCGTCGGAAGATCCGGTGCGGTTATGGGTCTGAGCCTCCCAGCACGAATTGAAGCCATTCTAAGAGCATTGAGTATGCATGCAACGCTGTGCCACGTGGAATGACGGAAGCGAGCGAGCGAGCGAGCGAGAGAGAGAGAGAGAGAGAGAGAGAGAGAGAGAGAGAGAGAGAGAGAGAGAGAGGGGTCTGGAAGAGATGTTGTTTGCGTCAGGAAGGCCAGACTTGACACGGCTGCGCGTGAGAGCCACTCGTTGCTGTGAGTCGGGAGTCGGGAGTCGGGATCTAATACTCGAGCTGAGCAAGTGCTTCGTGTTGGGCACCTCGTTAACTTACTCGCTTGAGCAGAACGCTGAGGCATGGATGCGTGCATATATATATATGATAGCTGCATGTATGTATGTATATACTGGTGTTCTCCTTTGTGTGTCGACGGGTTCAGTATGGTGGAATTTTTTTTGCTTCAGGAGTTGGTGGAATGGATAAGGGGAAGGAGTACGCTGGCTCCTAGAGGGTTAGCTTCTGGCGCCAAACGACGGAAATTGCGAGTCGGGCAGGATGATTCGCAGTCCGTCGTTTGGCGGGAAAAAAAAAGGAAGCAGGGTTCAGCTTTTGGCGGGAAAACTGTGTGTGCGGGGTTCATTTAGCTCTTGATTCGCGGTCCGTCGTTTGGCGGGAGAACGATATGCAGGGTTGAGATTTTGGCGGGAAAACTGTGTGCGGGGTTCAGTTCTTGGCCGGAAAGCTGTGTGCGGGGTTCAGGTCTTGGCGGGAAAACCTTTTTGCAGGGTTTCAGTTTTTGGCGGGAAAACCTTGTGCAGGGTTTCAGTTTTTGGCGGGAAAACCGTATGATGAAGGGTTTCAGCCCCGTTGGCAGAAAGCAACCTGTTTGATTGAAAGGAATCGATTATTTCTCTTTCTTATTCTTAGGTAGAGGAAAGAGCAGACAACGTCGTTGGTTCTTTGAGATGACCTGCCATTTGCTGCCGAGGTAAGTCTAATAATAGATCCGCGCCAATCAGTCCAATTGAGCTGACACAGGTGCTGGTGATCTGGGATTAACGGGAGTTCCATGTTGATGTGTAATTTGTCTTTTACTTAGATTAGATTAGATGATGAAACCGCAGGTTATTGAATGGGTGAGCGGTATAGGTTACAAGGGCTAGCTTGGGTGGGGGTACTGGGGGAGGAGAGGAGAGAAGGTTTGGTTAGCACACACACGTGCACTTTTCTGAATGCATCAGGCTATGATCATCGGTCAAATTCCCTTCGTAAAGTCCTGCTGTGAGTCTGTCCTTATGCAGATAAATGGGTTTCCCTTCCATAAAGTCCGGCTGTGAGCGTGTTCTTATGCGGACAAGTCCTGTTTGAAATGAGGGAGGTGGTGAACAGGGACACGGTCGGGAGAGGCGAGAGGGGTACATGGTTGTTGTTGATCGGAAGAGAAGGGGTCAAGAGGAGGAGAGAGGGGTAAGTGTGGGAACATACGGCGTCAAATGGAGGGCGAGAGCGAAGAGGAAACAGGCACACGGCGTACAGGGATCATATGGAGGACAGGGGTAATTGTGGGAACATACAGCGGCAAATGGAGGGCGAGAGTGAAGAGGAAACAGGCACACGGCGTACGTGGTTGTCGGTCGGAAGAGAAGGGGTCAAGTGGAGGAGAGAGGGGTAAGTGTGGGAACATACAGCGTCAAATGGAGGGCGAGAGCGAAGAGGAGGGAACAGGCACGCGATGTAGAGAAGGGAGGAGGTGGATGCAGCACGCCAAGAATTGCTTCGAGGATACTTGTTTTGACTAGTTACGACCGCGCCATTGCTCCAAAGAATGAAGGCGTTATGAGGAGGCGGCATTGTCTCGCCCTGTCTCGCCTTTTCTCTCCTCTTGATGCAGGGCCATTTTATCAGTCGCGTATCAATCACATTTCAACGTCGGATCGCCAACTGCAAGCGGCGAAGATTGTCAAGTGGAGGGTGAGAGAGAGAGGAAACAGGCATTGCATGAAGGAGGAAACAGGCATGGCCAAAAATATATTGTGCTTGACAATTATGGTGCTGATATTGCTCCAAAGGCGATGATTTGATGAGCATGCAATGTGTCTTGCCCTGTCTCTCCTCATCTTTCCTCTTGACCCCTCCCCATTTTATCAGCTGCATATCGCATCATGATCCCGGATCGCCAACTGCAGGCTAAGATATGAGGATCTGGCCGCCAACGAAGGGGATGCCGCATGGTGACGATTCATTGCCCTGCTGTCTGTCGTCCGCTGTGATCGCTCTGTTTTCCTATCGGAAGGTTGAGATTGTGCCAGCAAGGCGGTGATAGGTGGGTCGTCGAACGCAGGATGTGTGGACCACACTCAGCCAAGGAGAGAAGGCACTCAGCTAAGGAGAAGAGGACAAGTAGAGTGCGATCGGCCGGGATGCGCAGTTTGCGAGAAACGAACTTGAGTGGAAGGGTATGACAGTCTGACGAGGAAAGACATTGGCAGATGAATGAGGGAATGCCACATGGATGGTTATGCCCTGTGAGCTAAAGAGGCAAGTGGTGCGAGTGTGCAGTGTGGGGGTTGAGGTCTAGATACCCTGATGGGAGAATGAACTGAATGGGGGTTGAGGTCTAGATACCATGATGGGAGAATGAACTGAAATGGGAGTAAATGATAAACGTACAAGGAAACATTTCGGCAGAGGAGGGACCGACACGTGGATGGTTTTGTCCTGTGAGTGGGAGAGATGATGACGGAGGGGGTGGAGGGGGTGGAGGGGAGTCCTCCCTCGTTTTTCTGTTTCCTGCATGGCAGTCGTGGTTGATTTGTCTTGGCCTGTTGGCACCCTCCTAGGCCCTGTTGAAGATTGTCTTGCGAACTTTTTTTTTTTTTTTTGCTTTTGTTTTGCCAACTAGTTTCTCATATTAATTATTTCATTGACTGATTTGCTAATGGATTAATTAGGCATTTGATTGATTGATTGCCCGGTCAGCTGGTTGGAGATTGGGTATGTGTTGATGATGGGGGAGCTTGGCAGCTGTTTGTTGTTTGAGAGAGGGGAGATGCAATTGCATTCTATTCCTGCATAGCAATCCACCGGGCACGCTCCACACAGCTGGTCAGGGAGTTCTGGACTCGTCTTCCGTCTTCATGTCGATTTTTCCGTCTTTGCGACACTGAAACCTTCGTTGCAATTCACTTTTGCGGTTCTCGACAAGTGCGCGTTGCAGTTTGTACCCTCTCGGTCTCAGGAATGTAACTGCTCGCACTAGGGTTTCTCTGAATGAATCTGGTAGTAATTCTGGCCATATTCGTCCAGGAATGTCCTGCCCCCATTCTGCAGAGCTAGCTAGGTTGACTTTGGAAGTTGGTATGGATGTTTCGTCGCAATGGTTTATCCCTGTGTTGGTTTGCTGTAAACCTGCCGTTGCTAAGCTGTGCCACTCTAACGGGTAGGCTTCCTTTTGCCACTGCTCTTGCTACGCAATGTGATCTTGTCTTTCTTATCTCGCGTTGTTTCGCTGGTTGCGTCTACCTTCGTTTGGAAGAAACAGGGCAAAGTGGTGCCTTTTCGTGTCGTATGCCTTAGTAGGTCTTCGATGGGAAGAGATGAGGGTGCAAACTCCCTTCCGAGGGAGGGGACGGGGAGATAGCACGTCGTCTTCTTGAACACTGGTGGGTAGTTCTCGTGTTCTTTGCTCGTCTCTGTTCTCTCTCTCTCTCTCTCTCTCTCTCTCTCTCTCTCTCTCTCTCTCTCTCTCTCTCTCTCTCTCTCT